GCGCCGCGCCGCACGCGCGGGCGGCGCGCCCGCGTCGCTCGCGCTGCTGCCCGCGGCCGCCGCCGCGGTGGCGGGCTGCGCGGGCGCCTCGGCCGCCGTATGGGACTGTGAGAAGGGGCGCGCGCTGCGCCACGGGCACGAGCTCCCATACCAAGGGCAGATTAAATGCGCTGACCGCGCCGCCGGCGACGCGCTGAACAGCTACGGCCGCGCCGCCGCGCTGGCCTGCGGGGCGGCCGGCGCGGTCCTGGCGGCGGCCGCAGAGGGGCCAGGGCGCGCGGAGGGCGGCGCGGCAGGTGTGGCGGCCTGACGACCCCTCGCGCCGCTGTTTGCTGGGGGTTCACTCAGGATCGTCTCCGCATGCCTCGTGCCACACGCTGTCGGCGGCGTTGACGCCTGCTGCTGACCTGTGGGGCGCCATACAGACGTACCACACCGCGCCATCCAGACACCCCGCACGGCGCCATCCAGACACCTCGCGTGGCGCCATGCAGACACCCCGCAATGCGCCAACATCCCCCCTCCCCCTCCCGCGCGCCTGCGTAGATGCCGCGTCGGCGGTCGTCGCCGCGGGCGTCTTGCCGGCCCTCGAGTCCCTCTTCCGCCGCGTCCCAGCCGCCGCCCCCGCGCACGCGGCCGCCGCCGAGCTGCTCGCCGCGCTGCTGCCACCCTACGTCTCTTCGCTCAGCCGCGGGCCCGCGCCGGCTGAGGGGGACGCGCCGCCGCCGGGGGCGCGCGCGGTGGCGTCGGTGCTGACGACGCTCAAGAAGTTCCTGACGCGCTGCTGCAGCCTGCCGGACCCGGATGTAGACCTGGCCGGCGCAGTCGGAGTCCACGCGTGTGCGCTGCTGTCGCGGCTGCTCGACGCGGCGGCCGGCGGCGGCGCAGCGGGCGCGGGGCCGCTCGCGGCGTTCGCGGCGGCGCAGCTGCTGCCGGGCACGCAGGTGCGGTTGCGGCGCGGCGCACGCGTTGGAAACACATGTTGCAAGGAAACACACTTCCTTCGGGGCGCCTGCATGCATCTGATCTGACCCTCACGATCTGTGCCCATCCCTGCCCAGGCCCTGGCAACCACCTTCCTCAAATCGGGCAAGGCCGCGCATCCCCTGCCGGCCGCCGCCGCCGCGGCGCTCGCCCAGGCGCTCGTGCTGCACGCCCGCGCCCCCGCCCTCGGCCTGATGCCCGTCGCGCTCGCCCACGGCGGCCTCGGCTTCTGCGCGGCCGCCGCCGCGGCGGCCGCGGCGGCGCCTGGACCCGCGGGCGCGGCGCCGGAGGCGCCTTTGGCCGGTGCCCTCCTGTCCGTGGCCGAGGAATTGATGGATGTGATCGACGGCGCGCGCGGGTCCAGCGGCGGCG